AAAAAAAAAAAACTGTAAGAGACTACAGCTGTAGATATTTGCACATCATAAATGCTAGACCACAATGAATTATGACACAGCCACTTAATGAAGTGGCACTCTGTACACACATATGAAGTGACCTTTAAGGTAAATAAGTGTGCAAAATGGTGTACTTCAATTTATATTGGAAGGAAAAATGTAAGGGATGCTTATGGGCTAGTCAAGACAGCATATCTTGGGTACCCAAGGTAAGTGCCAGATAATAGACTGGTGTGAGGTGCAGTGGTGAGGCTATTAGGTGGCTCTGTTCTTATGGAAGCAGCTGCCTTTCCAGCCTATATACTCTGTCAAGGTATGTGAAGTATTATCCAGACCTTCATTTTCTGGAAGCCTTCAGTGTTCCTCAGAAATACCTAAATCTGCCTACTGTGGGGAGCTGGTCCCAGTCTCAAAGACCCTCCAAAGTTGGTGTTCCCTTCCAAGCCCCATTTCAGTAGCACAGAAATCATGGTCTATTTTTTCAAGGAGAAAGACATGCAGCTAGGTGACCCCACAGGAAAGCACTTCATTCTTTTTTGGCAGACAGGATCATGGCTGCTGTCCCTCTCATGAATCATGGTGCTGGGGAAGGACCAAAAATGCTAGAGGTCTTTGACTTTCCCAGGCCAAGTGAGCATCCATGCTAGCAGCCTGTCTTTTTTCATTGAAGCCCAACAGAATAGCAAACAGGATGTTTTGGAGATATCAGCAAACTTTTCACTTCCATCCAGAGGGAATGCTTCTCCCCTTCCTCAGGGGGCTACCCCCAGGTATTTTAGCTTTTTTGTTGTTGTGACCAAAATATCTGACAAGGACAGCTTAGAAGAGGAAAAGTTTATTTGGGCTCACGGCTTCAGAGGTTCAGGCCATGATGGGCTGACTCCATCGTTCTAGGCCCAAAGTGAGGCAGGTAATCATGGCAGAAGGGCATGGTAGAGGAAAGCTGCTTCATTCATGGTGGCCAAGAAGTAGAGAGAGAGAGTTGGCTGAAGGGGCCATAGGAAAGATGAATCCTTTCAGGCTACATCCTTAGTCACCTACCTCCTCCAGCCATGTCCTGCCTGCCTACAGTTACCAACCGGTTAGTCCATTCAAACTTGGATAGACTGATTATGTTATAGCTCTCACAGTCCAATTGTCTTACCTCTCAGCATTCCTGTATTTACTCAAGAGCTTTTGGGGCCTCATTTAACACCAGGAGTATGGGGAGCCTCCCAGCCTGGGCTTCTAAGGTCCAAGTCAAATTCTAGGCCTGGATACAAATGATGAGGATCCTCCTGTGTCTCCACAGAGAACACCTTCTGCAGTGGGGACCACGTATCTTGGCATAGCCCTTTGGATAACAGTGAGTCGAGAATTCAGCACATGCTGCTGACAGAGGACCCACAGATGCAGCCTGTGCAGACACCCTTTGGGGTAGTTACCTTCCTCCAGGTGAGGTGTAATTGGATATTGGAGTCTTCCCTGTGGAAAAAGTCCTGGAAGATGGAGGGAGACCTGAGGGGAATGAAGGAAGCAGGAGATTCACATTGTTCTCCCTCTGATGGGTCTGTGAGATTGATTTACTTGGTCCTGTTTCACACTCTGAGAGGAGAAGGGGAAGGGCCATCAGAGTGGGATAGAAAGGCTGTAGTTAAGAAAGACCCCAGTGAGGGAATCTTTTGAGCATATGAGGACCCATCACAGGAGCAGGACTTCCCAGTAGGGAAGCTCAGGCTGGCCTCACATTTTCCCAGAAGGGATGTGAATCTCCCCAGCTGCCACCAGTGTTTGCTTTTGCTTATGATGTGGTTTATGGGGAGGTTCAGTTGGTTTCCTGAAGATTCACGCAAAGGTTCACTGACCTTTCCTTCCTTTCCGAGATGCAGCCTGAGGACCCATCCTGAGTTGGCTCAGGCCTTGGTTTTCTCCTCTGCAGCTGAGAGCTAGACTTTGTATCAGCCAAACACCTGGCCTGTCACATAAGGGCAAGGGTCAGGCCTCAGGGCTTATCTGTGGACCCGGCCATCTCCTATCCAGGCTAGCACTCCCTATTAAGGGAACCTTCCATTATGAACACACAAGCCCAGGAGCAGCAATCCCACCTGTGAGTCCCCATTTTAGTGGCACCAAGAAAGCCTAGGTGATTGACCTTTCAGGGAGGATGGTCACTAACACACAATGGCATCTTATCCCTGGCCTTAGATTGTTGGCGTCTGCACTGAGGAGCTACATTCAGCCCAGCAGTGGAATGGGCAGGGCATCTTGGAACTGCTGCGGACGGTGCCCGTGTGAGTACATTCACCCATGAGATGGGGCCTGGCTCTCTGTGGGTGGGAGTTCCTCCCTTACCCCATAGGTGACTGCTTTTCTTTGTATTGTGCTTCTGGCACTCACTCCCTAATGATCCCTGACCACAAACTACTCCTCTGTGTTCTGGACCTGGGGCAGCAAACAGGGCAGGCTCTTGGCTCAGTGTCAGCTCCAGATTTGCAATTATCATTGTTTCCCCTTTCCTTATCCACAGCGCTGGTGGTCCCTGGCTGATAACTGACATGCGGAGAGGAGAGACCATATTTGAGATCGATCCACATCTGCAAGTATGTCTTGAGTGAGGAAAACCTTGCTAGCACACTGTGCCTAGGCCTCTTCCAAATAACACTGGCTTTCATCCTGGGAAAATGGAGACCTTTATATGTGAACGAGTAGAAATATGACATGATTTGGAACTTGACACCTGAATTCTGCAACAGACATAAGAGAGCAGAGATTTCAGCACAGAAAAAAACTGTCTCAGACACATGTATTTTTGCTTTTAAAACTGATACATTTTGGGGCTGGGGATGTGGCTCAAGCGGTAGCGCGCTCGCCTGGCATGCGTGCGGCCCGGGTTCGATCCTCAGCACCACATACAAACAAAGATGTTGTGTCTGCCAAAAACTAAAACTAAAAAATAAATATTAAAATTCTCTCTCTCTCTCTCTCTCTCTCTCTCTCTTTCTTTCTCTCTCTCTTTTAAAAAAAAAGAGTTGTTTTAAAAAAACTGATACATTTTATTGAATGTAAATTACATACCAACTTTTTAAAATTAGATCATCAGCAACAAAAGATTAGTGGGTATTGCCTCCTCACCCAGAATTCATTCCCTCACTTTCCCTTCTTAAAAGAACACAGATTTCTTTCAAGGAGACACCCTGTAGCCACCCCAATCTTGAAACAGTCAGTACCACAGGTGATACCCCACACCCAGCTATGAGGTGAGTGCTAAACGGCCTAATGATCTTGTCCTTCCTGAAACATTTTTCAACCATGCCTGGGTAGGTTGGCACTCCTTGGTGTGTGAAGGGGTCTTTAGACACAATCCTGCCACTGCCCATCAGTTTGGCCCATGGACAATGTCAGTGTCATCTTTGATTATATGAAGTACTCCTTTGGCATGTGTGTGAGTTTTGAAACTTGAAAGAGCATCATTGCCTTTCCTGTGGGCTGCTCAGGAGGAGCAGGAGCAGCAGGCAGCTGACCATGTGCCTATGTTGTATCTGGTTTCTTTTGCCCATCTACTATCATTTGCAAGTCATTGCCATCTCCAAACTTTTTATGCTTCTGTAAATTTTGAGCAGGCCACAGGCAGCACACAGGAGCTAGGGCAGGGGAGAGGTGGCAGGTGGACATGTAGCATTCAGTCCCTGGTTTCTTCACTGCAGACCTGTGAGCTTCAGGGCATAAATCCTCCTCATTCACACATGATGCTCCTCTATTTTCCTAGTGCTTTTAATACTGAAAATTTCAAATTGATGCCAGGATCCTCTGTTATCTCTACTTTAAACTTGGTTTCATTGTAGCTTCTGCCTAAGCAAGAGCAAGGAGCCATGGAAGGCTGTTTCCCTAATCCCTTATTCAGCAGCTATAATGGGATCCAGGAAAGGGCACTGTGGGCTGCTTGTTTGACCTCTGTCATAAGTGCCAAATACTCAGAAAGAACTTGGTCCCTTGAACCGTAGGATGTGCAAACCATCCTTTGTCTGCATGCTAAAAATAGTTCTTCCAAGTCAGCAGACTCCCTGAGACCAGCCAGCACTATCCATATTACCCAAAAGTCTTTGAAAGCAAGCAGGAGCCCATGGGAGGAAGTACACCTTTTCCTGGTGGCCCTGTGCATCAATTATGAACTCCTAGTATTTGCTTGTGCATCTCTGGGAACTACTCACCATCAGTTCATTTGAGAGCTGGCTCATGTTGCTTTGATCTAAATTCTACTACTAACTAGCTGTGTGCCTAAACAAATCACTTAACTTCTCTGTTTCTCTCTGATCTTGGTATTGGGGATTGAATCACTCTGATCTTGGTATTGGGGATTGAACCCAGGGACATTACGTGGAGCTTTGTCCCCATCCCTTATTTTTTATTTTGAGTCAGGGTCTTACCAAATTGATGAGACTGGCTTGAATTTGGAATGTGCCTGGCTCTGGGTCTTACTTATTTCTTTTTACTTATAAAGTAAGTAGGCTGGACTAGTGAAGGCATGAGGTGTCTGTTTTCAGCTCTTGGCTTAGGTGAGGGCCTCAGGGCAGTCAGTGAAGAAGGAAGCAGAGGCATATGCACAAGTTGTCCACTGAACAAACCAGGACCCCCATGCCCATTGCTCCCTACCTAAAGCTTATAGAGCTGTTGCCCTGCTCAGAATCCCCAGCTTTGCACCGGCTGATGGTAACACGAAAAGAGAGCAAAAAGTGATCGATGGAAAGAGGCTACCTGTGACTGGTCTCAAGTAATAAGGGAACCTATGCTTCTTCTAGATAGACTCCCTGGCCATTTTGGAGCCCTGGTCAAGGGACAGACAGACAAGAAAGTGTAGCCTCTTGTTGAGTTACTAAGTCATAAGGAGATTTATTTGGCCTGTATGGCTCTTTGCAGGCAATGTTGCTAAAGCCTCTCAGATGACCTTTGATCCAAGCCCAGCATCACAGAACTATGTTTTACCAGAAAATCCAGAGTTGTTTTGAGTACATCTCTTCCTTGAGGCCATTTGGAAAGTGTTTGAACTCAGCTATACCAAGGCCTGGCCAGAGGGCCTGTAGGAAATCTGCAAATGGTCACTGCCCTCCAGGACCCCATTTCAGTCTAAGGAGTGGAAAAGAAACTTCATCCAGAGCCCTTGGCCAAACTAGTTTGCCAGCAGCTAGGACAGTCCTTATGCTCTAGGGCGAGCACCCCCTCTAGCTGTTGGAAAGGGGAACTGCAGGTGTGCTGTCCCACCTTCACCCCTTTAACACTCATGCCACTGGCAGGCTTCCACCCTGCCTGTAGCAGTGACTGGGGGATTCTTCTTGGAGTGTCAGGGAGAAGAGGAGGGATTGTATCTTTGCTCATGGAGTAAGGTTCTGTCTTTGCTTTATCAGCTCTGTGGGCCAGCATGTGGTAGACAGAGTTGGGGCTCTGAAAGAGGTGTGAAGGCCATTAGATTGAAAGGTTAATGGTAGAGAAGCTTCCCTGGCTTCATCCCCAGGAGGAATCCAGTGTCTGGCAAAGCCCATTAACTATAACCAGAGCAGAACAAGGTCAGATAATTTGCTCTTAATAACAGCTGTCCATGCTCAGCGCCTACATAGGCTCAGTACTTACTATAAGGGTGGTAGCTGGGAGGGTAGTAGTGACATTGGGCCATAGTTCTCTGAAGGAACTCTGGGTCTTTGGTTCTTTTCAAGCAGGAGAGAGTTGACAAAGGCATTGAAACAGATGGCTCCAACCTGAGTGGTGTGAGTGCCAAGTGTGCCTGGGATGATTTGAGCCGGCCCCCTGAGGACGATGAAGATAGCCGGAGCATCTGCATCGGCACACAGCCTCGACGGCTCTCTGGGAAAGGTAGGAGTGTCCACCCTGCCATCCCTCTTTGGTTTCATGTTGGATTTTCAGGCTCTCTAAGATAGGTTTTCAACTCAACAGCCTACTCAATGGATTATTTCCAGCCTGATTTAAACAGCTAGTGAAGTCTTCCATCAAGGGGGAATTAGAGAAGCTTAATTTCCTGTATGTACTTCAAATGCACCACCAGCAGGATCTATTGTGTTTTTTTTATTTACCCCTTGCAATCTGAGGTCATAGAGGTGAGTGGAAGCCACAGAACAGTTACAGAAAAAGTTCACAGTCTACCCAAGCACAAGAGAACAAGTGTAGGCCACCCACAGAATTGACAAAAGGCCCAGATCTGGCCTGAAGTCCATGCCAGACCTGGGGATCACTGTCTTCAGGCCCACCCAGGCTTTTGAAGACAGAAGCCTGAATGTGAGGCCAGCTCTCAGTGACTACACACCACTGTCCTACACAGGCAGTCTAAAGGGCTACGGCAGGGCACCCTGGACCCACTGTTTTCCTGGTGAGGTCTTGAGGAGGAGGATGTGATTGTATTGTTGAAAGCTCCCTATGTTGGTGTTGGCTGTAGAAATAGTTGTGGTTTTTAGCAAAGGGCATCTCCAAAGGAAATTTGGCCACTTACATATACATATGCAACTTTTTTGTCTATTTCCTTTCTCAATCTCTTCATCTTTTTTTTTTTTTTTAATACGTTGTCTTTTTTTGTTTTGGTTTTGGTGCTGGAGATTGAACTCAGGGCCTTGTTGTGCATGTGAGACAAGCACTGTACCAACTGAGCTATATTTCTAGCCGTCTAAGTTGTCTATAACACTGAATAAAATATCTATATATGAGATTTATTTATTCTTGGGTGCTAGAGATGGAATCCAGGGCCTTGTGCATGCTAAGCATGTGCTCTATCACTGACCTACACCCCCAGCTCATATATATATATATAAGACTCATAAAAGTTTTTGTCTTTCCCAAAAGAGAAAATTTAGTCACAAACATTTGACACTGCATTTCCATCCTGTTTGTTCTAATGTTGTGTCAAGCCCATTCAAATACTACAATCATTTTATTGCATTTGACAAAAGAAGTAATTTAAGAAGGGATTCATATTCTTATCCACAATTTTAATCATTATTGGCTGTGTGTGTGTGTGTGTGTGTGTGTGTGTGTGT